TGGCCTAGGCTATGTGAACGCGTTTCGAAATGCTGTGGTGCCGGGTTCAATCCCAGCTGCAGGCGATTTCCCAGCAGACTGCAAATTTACCTAGAAAACAAAAAGCAACAGGCAAACTGTGCTGGGGTTGGTTCTGCAGCGTTCTGCAAAGGAGACACAACTAATTAGTTATTATCAGTATTACTATTACTGCTTCTGTTACTATGGAGCCGCCATCTATAGCCGCTAGACGCTGACCTGCTGATTCAAAAGTCCTGGTTTCAAATTCGCAGGAGCCTGATTGTTTCCATACATGACTTTTGTTCCCATGTCGACCCGACCTTAAATGGTTACTAGGTAAAGTTCTGGGAAGTAAAGGCAGCCGGCGTGCTGTCGACCACATCACCCATAGAGAGCCGATTGGTCTATACAAATATGAAGGTACAATCATATGCCCGTTGTGAAACTTGCGTGTTAGGGGAACCTTACTGTTTACTACTATTAGTACGAGTGCAACTGCTGCTGCTGCTATTATTGCTGCTGCGACTGCTGCCGCTGCTGTTACTGCTACTTCTATCACACCGATTCCCGCTGCTACTATGTATCAGTTAAATGGTGTTTTATCAATGCGTTGATGGACATTCTCGTCTGTGGAACCGTTACGCATGTTGTTTGCCATCACTTCCTCATATTCAGCATTCTGGGCCATTGAGGTTCATTGCTGCAAATATCACCCGCCTCCATTCATCTCTCTTGTTGGCCTTCTCTTTCCAGTTAGTGACACCAAGTGTTTGCAGGTCTGTCTGGACACTATCTATCCATCGTCTTCTTAGTCTGCCTCGTGGCCTACGACCATTCATCTCCATTCTGTATACAGTTTTTACTTGTCTATCACCTTACATTGTTTCAATATGACCCAACCATTTCAGTCTATTAGCTCTCGTGATGCCAGTGATCAGTGGTGATTTAAGCAGATTATGAATTTCACTGTTGCTTCTCACTCTCCATTCCCCACTGTTTGCATCTTCAATGGGTCCAAAAGATTCGTCCTAATACGTCGTCCCTATTACTGAAGCGTCATTTTGTTTGTAATCGGGGATTGATTACATCTAATGTTGGTGCGCCTTTTACAACTTATGTTGGTGTGCCTATTACAACTTATGTTGTTGCGCCTATTACAACTTATGTTGGTGCGCCTAAAGAAGCCAGTGTGCTTGTTTGTGCAGTTCTTGAATGCAGGGATGTAGGATTGTTTATGTTCGCGTTCTGTGTTCGGTAACCAGGCGATCATTGATCTGTTTGAGATTATTAAGAACGGGCTACAACTGGTGGCTCCGACATAAAGAAATCTTGAGGATGCCTGGCTGAAAAAGCAGTCCTATTACAAATTGTATGGAGGCTCTCAGGCCTTGTTTCAGTGATTAATAAAAACAAAAAAGGGATTTCTTTACACACAAAAAGTGTCGGTACTAGGCATGATATTGATCTTGATACAATCATTATCTCGAAAAATATTAGGCCTACAAATTAAAGGTGTTGGTACAGCTTCCTTGTACCGTCTGAAAAAGCTGCGATGATGCTGCTGCTGCTGCTGCTGATGATAATGATGATGATGATATGTGCACCACAAATAAGTATAGTAATACATTAGCCATAATATGAAAGTTATAAACACATAAAAGAGAAAAACAATTAGTTTTATTAAAATTTCGCATCGTATCATCAAACATCTGATCACATGCTGTCCTATCAATTGTATTCCTATCACATGTCATCTTATGCTGTTCTATGTATCCTGTTCAACCCCGTGATATATTTGATGTGGGTGCTTTATTAATTTCTTACCCCAAACAGGGGAAATCCACAGGTCACGGGACAGTCTAATATTTCAGAGGGTAGTAGATAAGCCTCATGCAATCGTGGGACCTAGGCTGCATACAGTCGTGTGACCTAGGCTGCACTCTCTCTTTCGAAGTAGGTGGGTTGGGGTTAGGGCCAGTTCTAGATGTTTTGGTGTCGTTAAAAGCACAAGAAAGCCGGGAGACTCAGTCTTACCACCCTCTAAAATGTTCGACTGTCCTGTGTCGTCATTTGGGATAGGATAATAATAAATAACCTTGATGTTTTTCCAGGACCTCTGTGTTGTAAAAAGAAGACAAACGATGAGCAACCATTTTCCTGCCGGTTTTCAACACTTGGATGAACCTGACCAGGTCAGCTTGGATTTTCACACAAGAGTCGTTTGTAAACTTGCTGTGTGATATGCGTGATATGCAGACATGTCTGAACCATCCAGAGATCAGATCTCGGCTGTAGGTTCGGTGCAGGACGAGTTTTACCAGGTAGGATACATTCACATTAGCTTACAGCCATAAGTAAAGGACCCTTTTCCACGCCTTCACGCGTGTGGGGCATGTACGGCAAAACCAATATTTTATAGACTAATGGGAACTTGGTTAGTAATGTGTTGAACATCACACCAGCTGCCTTAACAACCAAGTACTGTACCTGGTACCTATTTAAGACTGGATACACGTAGTGGCCAGGACATTTTTGGAAGAAAAAAATAAGTTTGGCTCCGTCAGGATATGAACTCACGATCTTCCGATTCGCAGGTGAGCGCCTATTCCTTACTGACATATGACAGGTAATATTTCAATAAGGCGGACACTGAGAGTCATCATCATCATGAAGCTGCGTCGAGATTGCAAGGGATTCTTAAATTACGTTCTATCCTGTGCAGTTGTTTCAACGCCGTGTGTGGAACCCAGTAAACATCCAGAAGACCCCATCAGCAGACTCAACAGAAAGCAACACACAAGAATTTTCCGTCTACGAACAGGACACTGCAGGCTCAACTACCACATGAATAAAATAAAGACTGTACAGTCCCCACAGTGGGCCTGTCAAACAGGACCACAAACACCTGAGCACATTCTGCAGACCTGCCTACTCTACCTACAACTTCTAAAAGACATCTGGCCCCAAGAGCAAAGTGTGCAAAGCAAGCTATGGGGAACCAGTAAGGACCTGCTACTGACATGCGAGTTCATAGAGGCAACCCACCAGATGGTCTGATCTGAGCATACGAAACAACACGCAAAAAAAAAAAAGAAGAAGAAGAAGAAGAAGAAGAAGAAGAAGAAGAAGAAGAAGAAGAAGAAGAAGAAGAAGAAGAAGAAGAAGAAGAAGAAGAAGAAGAAGCAGCAGCAGCAACAGCAGCAGCAGCAGCAGCAGCAGCAACAGGAGGAGGAGGAGGAGGAGGAGGAGGAGGAGGAGAAGAAGGAGAAGGAGGAGGAGGAGGAGGAGGAGAAGGAGAAGGAGAAAAGAAGAAAAAGAAGAAAAAGAAGAAGAAGTAGGAGGAGGAGGAGGAGGAGGAGGAGGAGAAGAAGAAGAAGAAGAAGAAGAAGGAGAAGGAGAAGGAGAAAAAGAAGAAAAAGAAGAAAAAGAAGAAAAAGAAGAAAAAGAAGAAACAGAAGAAACAGAAGAAACAGAAGAAACAGAAGAAACAGAAGAAACAGAAGAAAAAGAAGAAAAAGAAGAAAAAGAAGAATAAGAAGAATAAGAAGAATAAGAAGAAAAAGAAGAAAAAGAAAAAAGAAAAAGAAGAAAAAGAAAAAGAAAAAGAAGGAAAAAAAAGAAGAAAAAGAAAAAGAAAAAGAAGAAAAAGAAAAAGAAAAAGAAGAAAAAGAAAAAGAAAAAGAAGAAAAAGAAAAAGAAAAAGAAGAAAAAGAAGAAGAGGAAGAACCCAGTCCAACACAATGGGCCTCTCTCATCAGCTTTCGTCTTAGGATTTCTTGTGGACGTCCCATTTTACAGTCCATTTGTGTCCCATTTCAGTGCCTATCTGATGATTTTCAGTTCGCTTTTTTTTTCCAGGATGTGTCCAAAATGTAGCCATCTGTTTGACCCGTAACTGGTGATACCATCAGTCATCCAGACATTTGTCTTATTTCTTTATCTTTCTTGAATTCAACCCATTTTAATTTTCACCAGTTTTCTGGCGCGTTTGTTTTCAAATGTATTTAACTTTCGTTCCGTGTTTTTAGTTGTTCTCCAACTCTCGCTGGCCACACTATTACTGGACCTTCATTCGGCAAAGAATTTCTCTAGGTTCCAATCCTTCACTGATCAAAGAACGGATTGTATATGACAACATTTCGTCGGCTTCAAGATTTCTAGGGAATTCCTAGGGATCCCTAGGGGTTTCCCTGGACACTACCAAATTATTCGAAGAGGGGGTTAGGGTAAAGTCAAGGCTAATGTTACACGAATAGCGACTAACACCAAGCTTAACCCTAACCTACCTATACTATGGGAAGCTGTGGGGATTTTCCCATATCAAATCTCGAAGCTGAAGAGATGTGGTCATATAAATATAAATTACCCTCTTTCTCTCACTGCAATTGTCATATTCTTATTGATGAGTGCCTTGTGCATTTTGCTTAAGGCTACTTTTTGCTACAATGATCCTGGATAGTTGTATTTGTTGACCTGCTTCAGGGTGTTGCCTTTTGCGTGTGTGAGGATCCGTTGCACATTTTATTACCTGCCACTGTTCGCTGTGTCTGATCGGGTGCATTACTGCAGAGTTTGATTCTTTATTCCTAGCCCAGGACAGTCCAACATTTTAGAGGGTGGTAAGACTGGGTTTCCCGGCTTTCTGATGCTTTTAACTACCCCAAAACATCTAGAACTGGCCCTAAATCACACTCTAGTTACACTCCACATAACACACAACACGATACTAGGGAGAAAAAAAAAGCAGTTTTTGATATTAGATATTCCCCTGGGGGTTCAGGGACTCCACTTTCTGGAGAAGGAATAGGCCCACTGTCGCATTACAAACATGTCGTAAAAGGCCACTAATTCGGAGTTTACTTAAATCTGATGTCTTGGGTCAGAAGACGCATATATGCTTTAAACCACAACATCCTTTCGAAGAAGAAGATGATGATGATGATGTTCATACAACAGATGCAGCAGTAATAGATATTCGATTATAACCTAGGTTTAGAAAGTCCTACAATCTTCTTCTCCAGGCTGAAGATGGCGGCGCCAAAGATAGATCTAAGAATCCTCGCAGAGCACGGAAGCTGAGGTTTTATGTCAATGGTGACCGATACTTTCGCGGGAAGAAAATCTCCATCACACCAAACCACTATTGCAACTTCAACGACCTTCTCGGCGATCTCACGGGGAAACTGTCCTCTAACTTAAACCTTCATTATGGCGTCAGGCAGATCTTTACTCCACGAGCAGGCCGGAAGGTCCACAATATTGAGGAGTTGGTGGACGGCGAGGCTTATGTCTGTGCTGGCTTTGAAGCCTTCAGGATGGTCAAGTATGGGAGGTCGGAGTTGGAGCCATGGTCAGTGGGTGAGTGAATGCCCTTGTTGTTGTTTCTATTGTCGTTGCTAATGTTGGTTATTATTGTTGTAGTTGTTATCACAATAGCATATACCAAGAAGAGGAAAAACATCGACATTCTACACGAGCTAAACTACAAGAAGAACTGGCTCAATAACAGCATCGTGTCCCGAAAGTTGAACTATTTTAGCCACATCAAACGTCATGGCGGCTGGGAAAAGACGATGTTATAGGTTGCAGCTTGTGGAAGGCGAGGCAGGGGTCGACCTCCGCGAAGACGGATACAGAACATTGAAGATGCATTGGCATTGAAAGCACATGGAACCGGAAAGCAGGCTAGGGAACGGGATACTTTCAGGCGTGCCGTGAGGGGAGCGACGTTCTATAAAGGACTTGCTGATTGATGATGATGCTATCGTATTATTGCTGTTGTTGCAGTGGAAGAGCAGCGTCTGGCCGAACGGTTAACTCTTTAAGTACCAGACTGTTTCACAGTAGATGTGAAAGGAAAGAAATAACTATGAAGGAAAAGCATGAATTCATTACTTCCAAACTGGCAATATACACACTGGCTTTAACCACTTGAGACTGCGCAGGGGGTGGGAGGTAGAACAAGAAAACAATCAATATGAAATGTATGAATGAAGCGAGTATAATTATAGACGCTTCAGGTTTGACACAGTGACCGGTCGGACGCGTGTCTGGCCATAATTAAGAGCAAGCCACGCGGATATAGTAACCGGAAGTCGTTAATAATATGATCAGATAGTTAGTCAACGCTCATTGGTTGATTTATACCGGAAATCCGGGCAGCGTGTCCCGGACATTGTGTCTGCCGGATCAGTTGCTAAAATTAGAGGATGCAATTGAACTTTTGACCTCAGCTGGAAAAGTGAATGGTGAGTTGTAGATAGTTCTGAGATTGATGTAGCATCCAGATCTGTAAAGGGTGCACATGTCTTAGGGGCGTATCTAGCCCAAGGAGCCGCCTATCGTATAGCGGCTAGACGCTCGTCTGGATCTGAAGGAGTATTCGAACCCTATATGCCCAATACTCATGAAGGCGTGAGAAAACGTCTTTTACTTGACTTTGTGCTCTGAATAGAAATGCCATTGCCGCCGGGCCCTGATCATTTTCGACAACTGTTTGTACACTTTGTTAATTGTATGCTGTCATTGATCAGCTTGATATTGATTTCCTCTGTGAGACACTGATAAGGCTTCTGGGTTTTCCCGGTCTTGTCTGTATGTGGTAGTGTTTGTAGGCCTCTGTATGGGTGTTTGTATATGTGTGGTGCTCTTAATTTGTTTTTTTCTGAATGCACCTCCTAATCTCCATTCTTTAATCGGATTTCTTTCCTTTTTATTTTAGTTCACATTATCTCGGGGACTTCGAGAGTTGCCGGGAGTTTTCTGCGTTATGCTTTTGAAATGAGCACCTACTAACTCTAACCTTTACCCATTACAACCCCACCCCCACCCCATTTCCCATTTTATTGGACTTTCCCTGGAAACTCTAGTATTCCCCCGAGATGGGGTGAACTAAAATTTGAGTACCCGGCTTTCTAATGATTCACCCCCCCCCCCCCCCCCGCACCAATTTAATTCGCTGTCACCTTTTTTGGCATTTAACTAAACTTTTAGTTTCACAATCGTTGCCGTACCAAGGCTCCATTTCCATGGCAGCCTGTTCAGTAAAAGGATCGTTCTCATTGCTTGCCGGCAGTGGTACAAGAGGCGCACTGTGAAAGCGATTCGTACCTGGCGTAGTACTTCTAAAGCGGTGGTCAGCAACCCTTTTCAGGTCGCCCCCTCTCCTCCTGTACCCCCACCCAGAATGTATGCCAAGACCCCCAATTTCCCCCCCCCCCCCCCCCAATCCCCTTTTCCTCAAACATTTAAAAAAAATGTGTGATTAAAAATTAAAAAGAGGACAATAGATTCCGCAACACGTGAAACAGACAGCATTGCTCAGAATGTGTTCTCTATCTATACCTGCCATATTAATTAGATTTTTACCTGCAGACATACAAATTGCTGTGAAAACAAACAACAAAATATCCTTGGCTTTTTGTTTTATGTACAGTAAAAGGAAAGATCCCTTTTAACGCCTTTAGGCGCAACTGGCATATGCGAAAAGCACTCGTATTTTTAAAGAACAATCGGCACTAGGTGGATAATGTGGTCAGCATTACGCCGGCCGTCTTTCTTCCCCAATACATACATCCTGACACCCATTTAGAGCTAGGTTGACCTGCGATGATACAAATCCATGCAGTCAGCAGTTGGTTTCGATCGCGGTACGTTGGAGTAGGACTTGCCTAAGCTACCAATGACGTCTTTGTTTTATGTATGGTTTTGAAGAAGTATTTTACTAATATTTTTATAATTAAACTGAAAATAAAAATTGTGGAGTTTCCTGGAAAGTCAAATACTGCAGGAGTGTTAAGGTTAGTCGATGTTTACTTCAAGTCGTAACACCCCTATAATGATGGACTTTCCGGGAAACTCCGGGATTCCTCGTGTTCAGGGTGAATTGGAAAAAAAAAACCATAAAGAACCTCATACTTTAACACGATCTTCTCATCGTTCACCACATGCGTCTTCTTGTTATTCACCTTATAAATCTTCTCGTCATTCTCCTCGTCATTCAACTTGTTATTCTCTTCGTCATTCTCCTTGTCATTCTCCTCGTCATTCTCCTTTTCATTCTCTTCGTCATTCTCTTCGTCATTCTCCTTGTCGTTCTCCTCGTCATTCTCCTCGACATTCTCCTCGTCATTCTCCTCGTCATTCATCTTGTTATTCTCTTCGTCATTCTCCTCGTCATTCTCCTTGTCATTCTCCTTGTCATTCTCATCGTCATTCTCTTCGTCATTCTCCTTGTCATTCTCCTCGTCATTCTCATCGTCATTCTCTTCGTCACTCTCCTTGTCATTCTCCTCGTCATTCTCCTCGTCATTCTCTTCGTCACTCTTCTTGTCATTCTCCTCGTCATTCTCCTTGTCATTCTGCTCGTCATTCTCCTCGTCATTCTCCTTGTCATTCTCCTCGTCATTCTCCTTGTCATTCTCCTTGTCATTCTCCTCGTCATTCTCCTTGTCATTCTCATCGTCATTCTCCTCGTCATTCTCCTTGTCATTCTCCTCGTCATTCTCCTTGTCATTCTCATCGTCATTCTCATCGTCATTCTCCTCGTCATTCTCCTCGTCATTTCATCGTCATTAGCCTTGTCATTCTTCTTGTCATCCTCGACATTCTCCTTGTCATTCTCCTCGTCATTCTTCTCTGTCATTCTCCTCGTCATTATCCTTGTCATTCTCCTCGTCATTCTCCTCGTCATTCTCCTTGTCATTCCTCGTCATTCTCCTCGTCATTCTCCTCGTCATTCTCCTCGTCATTCTCCTCGTCATTCTCCTTGTCATTCTCCTCGTCATTCTCTCCTCGTCATTCTCCTTCGTCATTCCTCTCATTCTCGTCATTCTCCTCGTCCATTCTCCTCGTCATTCTCCTCGTCATTCTTCCTTGNAGAAGTATTTTTACTAATATTTTTATAATTAAACTGAAATAAAAATTGTGGAGTTTCCTGGAAAGTCAAATACTGCAGGAGTGTTAAGGTTAGTCGATGTTTACTTCAAGTCGTAACACCCCTATAATGATGGACTTTCCGGGAAACTCCGCGGATTCCTCGTGTTCAGGTGAATTGGAAAAAAAAAAAACCATAAAGAACCTCATACTTTAACACGATCTTCTCATCGTTCACCACATGCGTCTTTCTTGTTATTCACCTTATAAAATCTTCTCGTCATTCTCCTCGGCATTCAACTTGTTATTCTCTTCGTCATTCTCCTTGTCATTCTCCTCGTCATTCTCCTTTTCATTCTCTTCGTCATTCTCTTCGTCATTCTCCTTGTCGTTCTCCTCGTCATTCTCCTCGACATTCTCCTCGTCATTCTCCTCGTCATTCATCTTGTTATTCTCTTCGTCATTCTCCTCGTCATTCTCCTTGTCATTCTCCTTGTCATTCTCATCGTCATTCTCTTCGTCATTCCTCCTTGTCATTCTCCTCGTCATTCTCATCGTCATTCTCTTCGTCACTCTCCTTGTCATTCTCCTCGTCATTCTCCTCGTCATTCTCTTCGTCACTCTTCTTGTCATTCTCCTCGTCATTCTCCTTGTCATTCTGCTCGTCATTCTCCTCGTCATTCTCCTTGTCATTCTCCTCGTCATTCTCCTTGTCATTCTCCTTGTCATTCTCCTCGTCATTCTCCTTGTCATTCTCATCGTCATTCTCCTCGTCATTCTCCTTGTCATTCTCCTCGTCATTCTCCTTGTCATTCTCATCGTCATTCTCATCGTCATTCTCCTCGTCATTCTCCTCGTCATTCTCATCGTCATTAGCCTTGTCATTCTTCTTGTCATTCTCCTCGACATTCTCCTTGTCATTCTCCTCGTCATTCTTCTCGTCATTCTCCTCGTCATTCTCCTTGTCATTCTCCTCGTCATTCTCCTCGTCATTCTCCTTGTCATTCTCCTCGTCATTCTCCTCGTCATTCTCCTCGTCATTCTCCTCGTCAATCTCTTCGTCATTCTCCTTGTCATTCTCCTCGTCATTCTTCTTGTCATTCTCCTCGTCACTCTCCTTGTCATTCTCCTCGTCATTCTCCTCGTCATTCTTCTTGTCATTCTCCTCGTCATTCTCCTCGTCATTCTCCTCGTCATTCTCCTTGTCATTCTACTTGTCATTCTCCTTGTCATTCTCCTCGTCATTCTCCTTGTCATTCTCCTTGTCATTCTCCTCGTCATTCTCCTCCTCATTCTCCTCCTAATTCTCCTTGTCATTTTCCTTGTCATTTTCCTCGTCATACTCCTCGTCATTCTCCTCGTCATTCTTCTCGTCTTTCTGCTCGTCATTCTCCTCGTCATTCTCTTTGTCATTCTCCTCGTCATTCTCCTCGTCATTCTTCTTGTCATTCTCCTCGTCATTCTCCTCGTCATTCTCCTCGTCATTCTCCTTGTCATTCTCCTTGTCATTCTCCTTGTCATTCTCCCTCGTCATTCTCCTTGTCATTCTCCTTGTCATTCTCCTCGTCATTCTCCTCCTCATTCTCCTCCTAATTCTCCTTGTCATTTTCCTTGTCATTTTCCTCGTCATACTCCTCGTCATTCTCCTCGTCATTCTTCTCGTCTTTCTGCTCGTCATTCTCCTCGTCATTCTCTTTGTCATTCTCCTTGTCATTCTCCTTGTCATTCTCCTTGTCATTCTCCTCGTCATTCTCCTTGTCATTCTCCTTTTCATTCTCCTTGTCAATTTCCTCGTCATTCTCCTTGTCATTCTTCTTGTCATTCTCCTCGTCATTCTCCTCGTCACTCTCCTTGTCATTCTCCTCGTCATTCTCCTCGTCGTTCTCCTTGTCATTCTCCTCGTCATTCTCCTTGTCATTCTCCTTGTCATTCTCCTCGTCATTCTCCTTGTCATTCTCCTTGTCATTCTCCTCGTCATTCTCCTCGTCATTCTGCTCCTAATTCTCCTTGTCATTTTCCTTGTCATTTTCCTTGTCATACTCCTCGTCATTCTCCTCGTCATTCTTCTCGTCATTCTCCTCGTCATTCTACTCGTCATTCTCCTTGTCATTCTCCTTGTCATTCTCCTTGTCATTCTCCTCGTCATTCTCCTTGTCATTCTCCTTGTCATTCTCCTCGTCATTCTCCTCGTCATTCTCCTCCTAATTCTCCTTGTCATTTTCCTTGTCATTTTCCTTGTCATACTCCTCGTCATTCTCCTCGTCATTCTTCTCGTCATTCTCCTCGTCATTCTACTCGTCATTCTCCTTGTCATTCTCCTTGTCATTCTCCTTGTCATTCTCCTCGTCATTCTCCTTGTCATTCTCCTTGTCATTCTCCTTGTCATTCTCCTCGTCATTCTCCTTGTCATTCTCCTCGTCATTCTCCTCCTCATTCTCCTCCTAATTCTCCTTGTCATTTTCCTTGTCATTTTCCTCGTCATACTCCTCGTCATTCTCCTCGTCATTCTTCTCGTCTTTCTGCTCGTCATTCTCCTCGTCATTCTCTTTGTCATTCTCCTCGTCATTCTCCTCGTCATTCTTCTTGTCATTCTCCTCGTCATTCTCCTCGTCATTCTCCTCGTCATTCTCCTTGTCATTCTCCTTGTCATTCTCCTTGTCATTCTCCTCGTCATTCTCCTTGTCATTCTCCTTGTCATTCTCCTCGTCATTCTCCTCCTCATTCTCCTCCTAATTCTCCTTGTCATTTTCCTTGTCATTTTCCTCGTCATACTCCTCGTCATTCTCCTCGTCATTCTTCTCGTCTTTCTGCTCGTCATTCTCCTCATCATTCTCTTTGTCATTCTCCTTGTCATTCTCCTTGTCATTCTCCTTGTCATTCTCCTCGTCATTCTCCTTGTCATTCTCCTTGTCATTCTCCTTGTCATTTTCCTCGTCATTCTCCTTGTCATTCTTCTTGTCATTCTCCTCGTCATTCTCCTCGTCACTCTCCTTGTCATTCTCCTCGTCATTCTCCTCGTCGTTCTCCTTGTCATTCTCCTCGTCATTCTCCTCGTCATTCTCCTTGTCATTCTCCTTGTCATTCTCCTCGTTATTCTCCTTGTCATTCTCCTTGTCATTCTCCTCGTCATTCTCCTCGTCATTCTCCTCCTAATTCTCCTTGTCATTTTCCTTGTCATTTTCCTTGTCATACTCCTCGTCATTCTCCTCGTCATTCTTCTCGTCATTCTCCTCGTCATTCTACTCGTCATTCTCCTTGTCATTCTCCTTGTCATTCTCCTTGTCATTCTCCTCGTCATTCTCCTTGTCATTCTCCTTGTCATTCTCCTCGTCATTCTCCTCGACATTCTTTTTTTCTTTTACTTCTCAACTTCAAATCCCTAATGTAGACCTCATACTTTTTACCTTTCTTCTCTCCCCCCCCCCCCCCCCCCCCCCCCACCCACTCCCCACGGACTTGCAATCAGTTTGCCAATGGCGATATTAACTATAGAATATATCGTTGACTACTGAAAAAGGATGTCGTCGTCTGTGGCATAGGCGGTGCAAAATGCCGGGGTGCCGAGTTCTATTCCTGCTGTGGACGATTTGTCTTGCCTTGGTTTCAACAGTGGTTTCGAGAGCTGACCTTTCAGAGCAGTGGCAAAATATTAACGTAAAATATACATAACAAAACCACAACAGCCTATAAATGCTGGGGTTATTTCTGCAAAGTCATGTAAAGGATACGTAGCTGACAACTGAATAAGGGGACTGTGTGCATGTGGGATTGACTTAAGTGCTGCAATGTCCATTCATTCATGCATTCTTTCATTGGTTCTTTCATTAATTCGTTCATTCATTCATTCACTCTCTTTCGTCTTTTTTTTTTTTTCTGGCTATTTTTTTCTCTGTTGTTCATCTCTATACCTTTCTTTTCCCATTTTTTTTTTTTTTTTTTTCGCCTTTTCATTCTGTTTTCGTTATTTATTTTCCTCTCTGCTGTTTCTCCATTCTTCTCCTGTCCTTTCCTAGATTGGCCCGTCTTTTCATTCACTCACTTTAACTTTAACTTATTATTTTATTCATTCACTTTAATTCAAACCTATATATTCAGTCATTCATTCACTCATTTCTTTAACTTCAACATTATAATTCATTCATTAATTTGCTTAAATTTAAAACCCTTTATTCGATCTTCATTCACTCATTCATTCATTCACTTTAACATTAACTTATTTATTAATTAC